GCAGGCAGGCAGGCAGTAAACGGAGTCTTTTATTAAGTGTGCCAGGCGCCATTCTCAGCTCTTTGCTGTACCAATGGCTCAACGGCGTTCAACTTGCTGAATGAGAACAGGGGAGTTGTGGGGGGGGTGGTGGTGGTGTAGGAGAAAAAATCGACTGCCCCCAGCGTTTTGAAACGCCACCTTCACTGTGCCCCCCCTCTTCCTCTCTTGTCTTCCACTTTCACCTCTACCCCCCATCGCCCTGGACTAGACCAGAAAGTTTTCTTGGTTCTTTCGGTAAAGTCACGTAGAATGGAAGTAATAAAATAATAAAAAATTAACATGATTTAAAAATTTCTCACGAAGTTTTCTTTTTATTATTTTATTATTTCCATTCTACGTGATGACTTTACCGAAAGAACCAAGAAGATGAATCCCTGCAGTCACGAAAGCTTTGAATCGAAATTTAGACCAGAAAGCTTTTTAGACACCACGGACAAATCCCGGACTGGCTTCGGCACATTTTTTTTGGGGGGGGGGGATGTGGGTGGGTGGTGGGTCAATGCCGGATTATCCGGAAGCAAAAGTAGCTACAACACATGTCGTAGCTACAACAAATGTAGTAGCTACAACAAAAGTAGTAGCTTCGATATATGCAGTAGCTACGGGCCCCGAAGTTTCAAGGGCCCCGCGCTAAATGCTTTCAAGCTATCAATTCCGGTTCAGTGATTCTGCACTTGCTCTATTACTATAGGTCTATACTGCCTCCGACTTTTACGAACGGCTGGGTGTTGAAGTTTAGCGGTTTGTCGTATTATCCGGCTGCATAGCAAATGAAAAAAATACAATTACTTTACTGTGCAAGCAAAAAAATTAGTGTTTTTAATATTTACGTGTTTTTTTTTCGTTAATTTAAAGCCACTTTATGCTCCAGTCCCCGCATTGGTTTCATCCGGCACTGGGCTATCCAGAGGAGCTTTGTTGAGACTTCGTGCACCTGGCCTGGCACAGGCGCCGTGGTGACGCCACCGTCACCAGGTGGCGCATGGCACGTATTGCTGTTGAGACTTCTTGCCACAAGGTCACTACCGTCTGCATGGGCTCAAGCGTGGGCCTTGCTTGGGCCTTCCGTAGGACCCATCAGCCATCTTGCCGTGGTGGCCCAAGCAAGGCAGAGTTCGCAAACGGGTTTTGATTCCTTACCCGTACCCGGCCGCACCAGGGTCGCAAACGGATACCCGTACCCGGCCGGGTATCGTGTAGGGTACGGGTATCGGGTACCTGATTGCGACCTCTGGGATGAAGCCATGTTGCAGGCGCGGGTGGGTTGATTCTAGGAACTTGAATTGTGAGAAGAGACAAGACGTTGTGAAATGAGTGACAAACAGTTACTCACCAGTGACTCACGGCCTACCCGTACCCGGCCGCACCAGGGTCGCAAACGGGTACCCGTACCCGGCCGGGTACGGGTAGCCGGGTATCGGGTAGGGTACGGGTATCGGGTACCCAGTTGCGACCTCTGGGCTCCGTGTTCCCACAGCCAGGCAAGGCCTCATGCGGCCAAATCGATCGCTGCACGGTTTTGACCTGGGCCCGTCCGGGGGATATTACCTATCCGGTTGTTTCGGGGTAGCGGCAAATCGATTTGTGTCCAGAGCCGACGACTTGATTGTGACGGAGCGGATTTCGACGTTTAACATGTAAGAGGCTTTCACGACCAATATCATGCATGATACAGGTTTTGTTGGGGGGTTAGATCGTGTAAATATCTAAATAAATTTATTTGATACTCTTTACTTGATACATCAATCATGCTGTGACGGTTCCACCTGAAGACGGAAGCTTGTGTTGCCTCCGAAACCGTCGTGATTGTTATTTTCTTTTTATTTTACTTTTATTAATTTAAAATTTTTACCTACGTGATTTTACCGAAAAAACCTAAGAATATCATCGTTAATTCTTGTCGCAGATTCCTTTCATCCTGTTACAGCGCCACGGTCCACATTCAAACGATTACACCGCAGCTTATTTTCTTAGTTTTTTTTTACTCAACTGTGGATGATACACATGGGCAAGCGATCGCCGCCTTTCCCACCTCGTTACTGTGACAAAAACCACACGCACCCATCCTATCACCAGCGGAATTCACCTAAGAACCAATCGACGACGACAAATAACGACGGGAAAACGACGATCCGAATATACAGAACCACCACCCCCCCCCAAACCCTCCCCCTAAAAATACAAGTGCCTTTACTCAAGACGTCGTACGAGACGACCTGTACCGACAGCGAAAACGCGAGAGTAACAAATGGAAAACGAATATTTAACGACGACGACGACGACAACGACAAAAGCGGTTAAAAACTACTCGCGACGACGGACAACGGGGGTGGGAGAGACCGGGCGGACAGAGGTCGCAAACGGGTTTTCATTCCTTACCCGTACCCGTACCCGGCTGCACCAGGGTCACAAACGGGTACCCTACCCGTACCCGGCCGGGTATCGGGTAGGGTGTGGGTATCGGGTACCCGATTGCGACCTCTGAGATTAAGCCATGTTGCAGTTGCGGGTGGGTTGATTCTAGGAACTTGAATTGTGAGAAGAGACAAGACGTTGGGAAATGAGTGACAAACAGTTACTCACCAGTGACTCACGGTCTACCCGTACCCGGCCGCACCAGGTTCACAAACGGATAACTGTACCCGGCCGGTTACGGGTAGCCGGGTATCGGGTAGGGTACGGGTATCGGGTACCCGGTTGTGACCTCTGCCGGGCGGACAGCGCCGCGCTCGCCACACTTTACCGGCGACGGATGGATGGAACCTTCCGGTTCCTGGCCATCGGTCGGTGCTATGGTTCGAAGCGGCCAGCCGGGAGATTTCCGTGTTTTTGCGGGGGACGGAGAGCTGGCGGTCGGAATGGAGCCGGGAGAGGTGGAGATGTGGCCGCGAAACATTTTGGGATGGAAACGGGTTCAACCGCGGGGAGGGAATTCCAGACACCGGGGTCGTTGATATGGGTATGGGGGGGGGGGGGGGGAGCAGCAGAGGAGATCGAGTGATCGACCTCTTGGGTTTGTATGTAGAGACAAAGGCGGCCGAGCTTTTATTTCTGGCTACACCACCCTTATAGGTGTGCAGTGCTGGCCTCCATAGGTGCTCGCTCAAAGCACTTGCTCAAAGCAAGAGCTTTTGGTAGGCTGCATGGGAAATCTTTGTCTCCTGTGTGCGTGTGTGTGTCTTCATGCCATAAGGATGCCATTATGGCCATCAGGACTTGCTTAAGTGTCCAAAGGGCCAGCCCAGTCAGTGTGGGCTCACACGTGAGCCTCCCTTTGGCCTTCTGTAGGACCTCCAGTCATCTGACCTCCAGTAGAGAGATCACCTCTTTCCCAACGTACGTAGCCAAGCATGCTAAACCGGAGGTGCTGGCGGGAATCTGAAGCACTAATTGGGTTTGGGAGAACCTCCCCCATGGGTGATAGGAGGTTCACAGTGGATGTGATCCTGGGTTGCTGGATTGAATCGTGCGAATGTGCGAGTCTCAACAGTTCGTATGGCGTTGGAACAAAGCAAGGGAGCAGGACATTAAAATGTGCCCGGATTGAATCCGACAGGCCGCCCTGGTTAATGCCGCGAGGCGGGAATTAACCGTAGCAATTAGTGCAACTACCCACGCACCGTCCGCTTCACTCGCAGCAACGGGCATTTAAAGATCCCGTGAAGTAATTTCTGAGCGAGCGGAAGGGATGCAGTGGATAATACGAGTTGGAGACTGCACATTATCCCACGGAGTGTAGTCCACAACCCTTATTGTCCACTCGCTCTCCTTCAGGCCTGCCTTTTTTGTGCTGTGAAAAAAAAACATTTATCTGAAACGGCGGCGTAATTAACGAATGTGTCGAGTATTTGTTTTTTTTGTCGCTGCTTCCAGCTACAATTTGGAGCCGACGGGAGGGGGGGAGGGGGGGGGGGAATTTGAGAATTGGCGGCGCGGTTTCTTGGCACGTGCCCCGTGGGAGTCCAAAGTCTGACGGCGACAATCCAGATTGCCTCTGTGGCGTTTTTTGTTGTTGGTTGTTGTTGTTGCGGTGAGAGGTTCGTGAAGTTTTGTACACGGGACAGAGGGTCGATGGACTTGGGGTCGTGACTATGGATACGGCCTAGCGCAGGCTTGGCCTCTATCACAGCCTGACTCAGGTTTGGCCTCTATCATGGCCCAGTTCAGACTTGGCCTCTAACACAGCCTGACTCAGGCTTGGCCTCTAACACAGCCTGACTCAGGCTTGGCCTCTAACACAGCCTGACTCAGGTTTGGCCTCTAACACAGCCTGACTCAAGCTTGGCCTCTAACGCAGCCTGACTCAGGCTTGGCCTCTAACACAGCCTGACTCAGGCTTGGCCTCTAACACAGCCTGACTCAAGCTTGGCCTCTATCACGGCCCAGTTCAGACTTGGCCTCTAACACAGCCGGCTCAAGCTTGGCCTCTATCATGGCCCAGTTCAGACTTGGCCTCTAACATTGCCCGGTCCAGGTTTTGCATCTAACATAGCCAGCCCAGGTTTGGCCTCTATCACAGCCCAGCTCAGCATTGGCCTCCAACGCGATCCGGCTCAGAATTAGCCTCTATCACAGCCCAGCTCAGGCTTGAGTCGCTCAGTTGCTTACAAAGACGCTCAGCCGAGTTCCTGGTCCTGGCCTCGAGCTCGTGGAGAACCGCCGTGCTCCGAGCGGGCTCAAGTTAAGTGGCGTGGCTTTTAAGCCAGACCCAAACCTGAGCCAAACCACACACACCTGTGAACCAGGGGCCTGAGTGTGTGTGTTGCGAGTGCGCGGGAAGGTTTGTGCGCGCGCGTCTTTTCGCTGGCACACAAACGTAACGTGTCCACGTTATTCTCACAGACGAACCGTCGCAACCGCGATTCCATTAACGAAAACAGCAAATTCTGTAAACACCAGGCCCTGATAAAATACAACAAAAATACCGACGAGAATTCATCCCCCCCCCCCCGCCCGCCACCACCCCCCGCAACCCCCGTTAAGTGTTAGAAGGTGCATCATGGGACCTCCTTTGCCGGTACCAAAATATACTAATAGGGTTTTTCCCCTTTTTTCTGGCAACAAAACTGACACCTTTTTCAAGGAATCATGCTTACATTAATCACAATACTTGCAGTCAAATGCAAACAAAAACGATACGGGTGGAGCTCTGCTATTGCTTGCTCAAAGCAGCCCTTTTTTAAGAGCATTTCAGCCTCCTCTTCCAAGCCGGCTTGGCATCTTGGAAGGGATAGGAGTGCCCACATTTTAACCCCCCATCGCGTGCGACCCGCAAGTTAACTTAATCGTAGTGAACCCACTTAACATCACCGGGTGGAGACGGAGGCCGTGATGGTGTGCGGGGCTTGCGCCATTGTTTCGACTGCCGTGCTGGGAGACAGAATCGAACCGGGTGACCTCCGGAGTTCCCAGCGTTGTTAACCATCACACCACCGCAGCACCATTAGCAGCAGCAAGCATGCCTGCATGTGTATCGGTGTGTGATTGATCCCGGGGCCTCGTACGACGGAGGAAGTGGCCAACTCCCGTGAGTGGATCGCAAGTCCGCTCTGCTAACCATGACACCACGGCAGCAGCGGCAGCAGCAACATCCCTTGATTACGTTGCAGATGGAAATGATTAAACATCTTGCGGGACAACCGCGATGGCGGCGACGAGGACGACGAGGACGACGAGGACGACGAGGACGACGGCGGAGGACATCGGCACCCACGATCGGAAATGTGTGGCGACAGACGACGATCGCCGCCTCCGATTCGTGGGGGCGGCGAGCAAACAATGCGGAATCCAAAACAGTCTCTTCTGTCGTGCACCCGGCCCATGCTGCTGCCACTCCCCTCCCCTTCCCCCGCCCCCCGCCAACTCTCTGTTCATCACCGGCGGGATTTCAAACTTTGTGCAAAGATTTTGCCGTCGGGGCCCAGGGGCGGCCTCGTGAAAGTCCTGGCCGCGGGTTGACGTCGTCGTGACGCAATGGCGGCCATGGTCGTGATGCAATGGCGGCCATGGTCATAAAGCAGTAGAGGCCAACGTCCTAACCCAGTGGCGGCCGGGGTTGTGATGCAATGGCGGCCGGGGTCACCGTAAAACCTCCCACAATCCTTGCACGGAGCTGCCACTGTTGGGGGCGCGGGCGTCACCGAGGGAAGTCTGGGGGGGTGAGAAGTTCACGACGACCCAGTCGCCGGTGCAGGGCCTCCCAGACGACGGGGTTGGTGGTGGGTGGCAGGGCAGGGCGGCCTTCTGGGGGAGCCACCATGTCGGCCCCCTCCCCCCCGCCCCCCCTCTGGGGGAGGCTGCTAGACGTAGCCCTGCCGGGCGTACGTCTGCCCCTCCATATCGAGGATCGTCCGTGGGGCGGCAGCGCTGATCGGGGTCGCCGCACGCGCCGCCGCGTACTTGAACGTGTGGTCTCTGCGGAGTGCATGGGGCGGAGGGGGGAGGGTGGACGGGGAAGGGGGGGGTACCCACACTTTAGCACACCGCTGCACGCGACCTGCGACTCCAGGCCAAACAATTACCGATGCCCCCGCTCAGCGGATGCTCGTCACTGTCGGAGCGATGCTCATTGAGTCACCGCGCGAACGCCTCGGCAAGTTTTCCACATCGATTAATGGGATGGCGACCACCGTGACCTCACAATGGACCATTGTGACCTCACAATGGACACGTGGTTTAGCAGCAAAGCCAACACGTGGACAGCACGCTTCCTTCCCACGTCACTCAGGCCGTGCATGCGAAATGCACAAGCATTTTTCGATTTAAGGCTTTCACGACTGCAGGGATTCATCTTCTTGGTTCTTTCGGTAAAGTCACGTAGAAGGGAAATAATTAATTTATAAAAATAAAACATAATAAAATACAATTCTCACGATGTTTCGGCCACAACGCAAGCAGCCGTCCTCAGGTGAAGAACAGGTCTGTCGGAAAGACAGCGTCTGAATGTCTTTCTGTCTTTCCGACAGACCTGTTCTTCACCTGAGGACGGCTGCTTGCGTTGTGGCCGAAACGTCGTGAGAATTATTTTATAATGTTTTATTTTCATTATTTTATTATTTCCCTTCTACGTGACTTTACCGAAAGAACCAAGAAGATGCACAAGCATTGTTATTTGACTCATCCCATCAGCCACACACACACACACACTGCCCCGGCGATGGTTCACCGGTAGGGCGACCACCATTCTCTCTCCGCGTGAGTGACCTCGTTCTGAGGGCCAGGTTTTAATAAGAAAACCTCCGCTCCGAACTCTGATCTTTCGTGTGATGCAAGCAATCGAGGCTCAGCCCAGTTACCTCTGCGTAGAAGACCGGGCCCCAGTACAGCAGACGCAGCACAGCAACCCGCCGCCTAGGATGGCCAGACCCGAGCCGGCCCAACCCATGTACAAAGCGGGCCCCAGCTCATACCTGCACGCAAGAGACAAAGATTTGTTTTCCCCCCGTATAGCCTTAACAGACTTTTGGGGCAAGTTGTTGTTCGCGATTTGTAGCGCCTATGGAGGCCAGCCAACACTGTGGCACACGAGGGGGTGGGTGGCCAACACCACGCCCGCCCAACACCACGCCCGCCCACCGGCTCTGCTGCCTTTGTGTACACCCACAGGTACTTGTGTACACACACAGGTACTTGTGTACATACACACACGTACACAGGCTCTGGGTTGAGGTTATGGTCAGGGTTAGGACCTGTGTGTGCTGGATTGATAGTGTCAGGGTCATGGTCAGGACCTGTGTTTGCTGGATTGATAGTGTCAGGGTCAGGTTCAGGACCTGTGTTTGCTGGATTGATAGTGTCAGGGTCAGGTTCAGGACCTGTGTTTGCTGGATTGATAGTGTCAGGGTCAGGTTCAGGACCTGTGTATGCTGGACTGGTAGTGTCAGGGTCATGGTCAGGACCTATGTATGCTGGATTGATAGTGTCAGGGTCAGGGTTAGGACAAGTGTGTGCTGGATTGATAGTGTCAGGGTCAGGGTCAGGACCTGTGTTTGCTGGATTGATAGTGTCAGGGTCAGGTTCAGGACCTGTGTTTGCTGGATTGATAGTGTCAGGGTCAGGTTCAGGACCTGTGTTTGCTGGATTGATAGTGTCAGGGTCAGGTTCAGGACCTATGTTTGCTGGATTGATAGTGTCAGGGTCAGGTTCAGGACCTGTGTTTGCTGGATTGATAGTGTCAGGGTCAGGTTCAGGACCTGTGTTTGCTGGATTGATAGTGTCAGGGTCAGGTTCAGGACCTGTGTTTGCTGGATTGATAGTGTCAGGGTCAGGTTCAGGACCTGTGTTTGCTGGATTGATAGTGTCAGGGTCAGGTTCAGGACCTGTGTTTGCTGGATTGATAGTGTCAGGGTCAGGTTCAGGACCTGTGTTTGCTGGATTGATAGTGTCAGGGTCAGGTTCAGGACCTGTGTTTGCTGGATTGATAGTGTCAGGGTCAGGTTCAGGACCTGTGTTTGCTGGATTGATAGTGTCAGGGTCAGGTTCAGGACCTGTGTTTGCTGGATTGATAGTGTCAGGGTCAGGTTCAGGACCTGTGTTTGCTGGATTGATAGTGTCAGTGTCAGGGTCAGGACCTGTGTTTGCTGGATTGATAGTGTCAGGGTCAGGTTCAGGACCTGTGTTTGCTGGATTGATAGTGTCAGGGTCAGGTTCAGGACCTGTGTTTGCTGGATTGATAGTGTCAGGGTCAGGTTCAGGACCTGTGTTTGCTGGATTGATAGTGTCAGGGTCAGGTTCAAGACCTGTGTTTGCTGGATTGATAGTGTCAGGGTCAGGTTCAGGACCTGTGTTTGCTGGATTGATAGTGTCAGTGTCAGGACCTGTGTTTGCTGGATTGATAGTGTCAGGGTCAGGTTCAGGACCTGTGTTTGCTGGATTGATAGTGTCAGGGTCAGGTTCAGGACCTGTGTTTGCTGGATTGATAGTGTCAGGGTCAGGTTCAGGACCTGTGTTTGCTGGATTGATAGTGTCAGGGTCAGGTTCAGGACCTGTGTTTGCTGGATTGATAGTGTCAGGGTCAGGTTCAGGACCTGTGTTTGCTGGATTGATAGTGTCAGGGTCAGGCTCAGGACCTGTGTTACTGGATTGATAGTGTCAGGGTAGGTCAGGACCTGTGTTTGCTGGATTGATAGTGTCAGTGTCAGGGTTCAGGACCTGTGTTTGCTGGATTGATAGTGTCAGGGTCAGGTTCAGGACCTGTGTTTGCTGGATTGATAGTGTCAGTGTCAGGGTCAGGACCTGTGTTTGCTGGATTGATAGTGTCAGGGTCAGGACCTGTGTTTGCTGGATTGATAGTGTCAGGGTCAGGTTGAGGACCTGTGTTTGCTGGATTGATAGTGTCAGGGTCAGGTTCAGGACCTGTGTTTGCTGGATTGATAGTGTCAGGGTCAGGTTCAGGACCTGTGTTTGCTGGATTGATAGTGTCAGGGTCAGGTTCAGGACCTGTGTTTGCTGGATTGATAGTGTCAGGGTCAGGTTCAGGACCTGTGTTTGCTGGATTGATAGTGTCAGGGTCAGGTTCAGGACCTGTGTTTGCTGGATTGATAGTGTCAGGGTCAGGTTCAGGACCTGTGTTTGCTGGATTGATAGTGTCAGGGTCAGGTTCAGGACCTGTGTTTGCTGGATTGATAGTGTCAGGGTCAGGTTCAGGACCTGTGTTTGCTGGATTGATAGTGTCAGGGTCAGGTTCAAGACCTGTGTTTGCTGGATTGATAGTGTCAGGGTCAGGTTCAGGACCTGTGTTTGCTGGATTGATAGTGTCAGGTAGGTTCAGGACCTGTGTTTGCTGGATTGATAGTGTCAGGGTCAGGTTCAGGACCTGTGTTTGCTGGATTGATAGTGTCAGGGTCAGGTTCAGGACCTGTGTTTGCTGGATTGATAGTGTCAGGGTCAGGTTCAGGACCTGTGTTTGCTGGATTGATAGTGTCAGGGTCAGGTTCAGGACCTGTGTTTGCTGGATTGATAGTGTCAGTGTCAGGGTCAGGACCTGTGTTTGCTGGATTGATAGTGTCAGGGTCAGGTTCAGGACCTGTGTTTGCTGGATTGATAGTGTCAGGGTCAGGTTCAGGACCTGTGTTTGCTGGATTGATAGTGTCAGGGTCAGGTTCAGGACCTGTGTTTGCTGGATTGATAGTGTCAGGGTCAGGTTCAGACCTGTGTTTGCTGGATTGATAGTGTCAGGGTCAGGTTCAGGACCTGTGTTTGCTGGATTGATAGTGTCAGGGTCAGGTTCAGGACCTGTGTTTGCTGGATTGATAGTGTCAGGGTCAGGTTCAGGACCTGTGTTTGCTGGATTGATAGTGTCAGGGTCAGGTTCAGGACCTGTGTTTGCTGGATTGATAGTGTCAGGGTCAGGTTCAGGACCTGTGTTTGCTGGATTGATAGTGTCAGGGTCAGGTTCAGGACCTGTGTTTGCTGGATTGATAGTGTCAGGGTCAGGTTCAGGACCTGTGTTTGCTGGATTGATAGTGTCAGGGTCAGGTCAGGACCTGTGTTGCTGGATTGATAGTGTCAGGGTCAGGTCAGGACCTGTGTTTGCTGGATTGATAGTGTCAGGTCAGGGTCAGGACCTGTGTTTGCTGGATTGATAGTGTCAGTGTCAGGGTCAGGACCTGTGTTTGCTGGATTGATAGTGTCAGGGTCAGGTTCAGGACCTGTGTTTGCTGGATTGATAGTGTCAGTGTCAGGGTCAGGACCTGTGTTTGCTGGATTGATAGTGTCAGGGTCAGGACCTGTGTTTGCTGGATTGATAGTGTCAGGGTCAGGTTGAGGACCTGTGTTTGCTGGATTGATAGTGTCAGGGTCAGGTTCAGGACCTGTGTTTGCTGGATTGATAGTGTCAGGGTCAGGTTCAGGACCTGTGTTTGCTGGATTGATAGTGTCAGGGTCAGGTTCAGGACCTGTGTTTGCTGGATTGATAGTGTCAGGGTCAGGTTCAGGACCTGTGTTTGCTGGATTGATAGTGTCAGGGTCAGGGTCAGGACCTGTGTTTGCTGGATTGATAGTGTCAGGGTCAGGTTCAGGACCTGTGTTTGCTGGATTGATAGTGTCAGGGTCAGGTTCAGGACCTGTGTTTGCTGGATTGATAGTGTCAGGGTCAGGTTCAGGACCTGTGTTTGCTGGATTGATAGTGTCAGGGTCAGGTTCAGGACCTGTGTTTGCTGGATTGATAGTGTCAGGGTCAGGGTCAGGACCTGTGTTTGCTGGATTGATAGTGTCAGGGTCAGGGTTAGGACCTGTGTTTGCTGGATTGATAGTGTCAGGGTCAAGGTCAGAGCCTGTGTGTACTGGACTGGTAGTGTCAGGGTCAGGTTCAGGACCTGTGTTTGCTGGATTGATAGTGACAGGGTCAGGTTCAGGACCTGTGTTTGCCTGGATTGATAGTGTCAGGGTCAAGGTCAGAACCTGTGTGTGCTAGATTGATAGTGTCAGGGTCAGGTTCAGGACCTGTGTTTGCTGGATTGATAGTGTCAGGGTCAGGTTCAGGACCTGTGTTTGGTGGATTGATAGTGTCAGGGTCATGGTCAGGACCTGTGTTTGCTGGATTGATAGTGTCAGGGTCAGGGTCAGGACCTGTGTTTGCTGGATTGATAGTGTCAGGGTCAGGTTCAGGACCTGTGTTTGCTGGATTGATAGTGTCAGGGTCAGGTTCAGGACCTGTGTTTGCTGGATTGATAGTGTCAGGGTCAAGGTCAGAACCTGTGTGTGCTAGATTGATAGTGTCAGGGTCAGGTTCAGGACCTGTGTTTGCTGGATTGATAGTGTCAGGGTCAGGTTCAGGACCTGTGTTTGCTGGATTGATAGTGTCAGGGTCAGGTTCAGGACCTGTGTTTGCTGGATTGATAGTGTCAGGGTCAGGTTCAGGACCTGTGTTTGCTGGATTGATAGTGTCAGGGTCAGGTTCAAGACCTGTGTTTGCTGGATTGATAGTGTCAGGGTCAGGTTCAGGACCTGTGTTTGCTGGATTGATAGTGTCAGGGTCAGGCTCAGGACCTACGTACTGGATTGATAGTGTCAGGGTCAGGACCTGTGTTTGCTGGATTGATAGTGTCAGTGTCAGGGTCAGGACCTGTGTTTGCTGGATTGATAGTGTCAGGGTCAGGTTCAGGACCTGTGTTTGCTGGATTGATAGTGTCAGTGTCAGGGTCAGGACCTGTGTTTGCTGGATTGATAGTGTCAGGGTCAGGACCTGTGTTTGCTGGATTGATAGTGTCAGGGTCAGGTTGAGGACCTGTGTTTGCTGGATTGATAGTGTCAGGGTCAGGTTCAGGACCTGTGTTTGCTGGATTGATAGTGTCAGGGTCAGGTTCAGGACCTGTGTTTGCTGGATTGATAGTGTCAGGGTCAGGTTCAGGACCTGTGTTTGCTGGATTGATAGTGTCAGGGTCAGGTTCAGGACTTGTGTTTGCTGGATTGATAGTGTCAGGGTCAGGTTCAGGACCTGTGTTTGCTGGATTGATAGTGTCAGGGTCAGGTTCAGGACCTGTGTTTGCTGGATTTATAGTGTCAGGGTCAGGTTCAGGACCTGTGTTTGCTGGATTGATAGTGTCAGGGTCAGGTTCAAGACCTGTGTTTGCTGGATTGATAGTGTCAGGGTCAGGTTCAGGACCTGTGTTTGCTGGATTGATAGTGTCAGTGTCAGGACCTGTGTTTGCTGGATTGATAGTGTCAGGGTCAGGTTCAGGACCTGTGTTTGCTGGATTGATAGTGTCAGGGTCAGGTTCAGGACCTGTGTTTGCTGGATTGATAGTGTCAGGGTCAGGTTCAGGACCTGTGTTTGCTGGATTGATAGTGTCAGGGTCAGGTTCAGGACCTGTGTTTGCTGGATTGATAGTGTCAGTGTCAGGGTCAGGACCTGTGTTTGCTGGATTGATAGTGTCAGGGTCAGGTTCAGGACCTGTGTTTGCTGGATTGATAGTGTCAGGGTCAGGTTCAGGACCTGTGTTTGCTGGATTGATAGTGTCAGGGTCAGGTTCAGGACCTGTGTTTGCTGGATTGATAGTGTCAGGGTCAGGTTCAAGACCTGTGTTTGCTGGATTGATAGTGTCAGGGTCAGGTTCAGGACCTGTGTTTGCTGGATTGATAGTGTCAGTGTCAGGACCTGTGTTTGCTGGATTGATAGTGTCAGGGTCAGGTTCAGGACCTGTGTTTGCTGGATTGATAGTGTCAGGGTCAGGTTCAGGACCTGTGTTTGCTGGATTGATAGTGTCAGGGTCAGGTTCAGGACCTGTGTTTGCTGGATTGATAGTGTCAGGGTCAGGTTCAAGACCTGTGTTTGCTGGATTGATAGTGTCAGGGTCAGGTTCAGGACCTGTGTTTGCTGGATTGATAGTGTCAGGGTCAGGCTCAGGACCTACGTACTGGATTGATAGTGTCAGGGTCAGGACCTGTGTTTGCTGGATTGATAGTGTCAGTGTCAGGGTCAGGACCTGTGTTTGCTGGATTGATAGTGTCAGGGTCAGGTTCAGGACCTGTGTTTGCTGGATTGATAGTGTCAGTGTCAGGGTCAGGACCTGTGTTTGCTGGATTGATAGTGTCAGGGTCAGGACCTGTGTTTGCTGGATTGATAGTGTCAGGGTCAGGTTGAGGACCTGTGTTTGCTGGATTGATAGTGTCAGGGTCAGGTTCAGGACCTGTGTTTGCTGGATTGATAGTGTCAGGGTCAGGTTCAGGACCTGTGTTTGCTGGATTGATAGTGTCAGGGTCAGGTTCAGGACCTGTGTTTGCTGGATTGATAGTGTCAGGGTCAGGTTCAGGACCTGTGTTTGCTGGATTGATAGTGTCAGGGTCAGGGTCAGGACCTGTGTTTGCTGGATTGATAGTGTCAGGGTCAGGTTCAGGACCTGTGTTTGCTGGATTGATAGTGTCAGGGTCAGGTTCAGGACCTGTGTTTGCTGGATTGATAGTGTCAGGGTCAGGTTCAGGACCTGTGTTTGCTGGATTGATAGTGTCAGGGTCAGGTTCAGGACCTGTGTTTGCTGGATTGATAGTGTCAGGGTCAGGGTCAGGACCTGTGTTTGCTGGATTGATAGTGTCAGGGTCAGGGTTAGGACCTGTGTTTGCTGGATTGATAGTGTCAGGGTCAAGGTCAGAGCCTGTGTGTACTGGACTGGTAGTGTCAGGGTCAGGTTCAGGACCTGTGTTTGCTGGATTGATAGTGTCAGGGTCAGGTTCAGGACCTGTGTTTGCTGGATTGATAGTGTCAGGGTCAAGGTCAGAACCTGTGTGTGCTAGATTGATAGTGTCAGGGTCAGGTTCAGGACCTGTGTTTGCTGGATTGATAGTGTCAGGGTCAGGTTCAGGACCTGTGTTTGGTGGATTGATAGTGTCAGGGTCATGGTCAGGACCTGTGTTTGCTGGATTGATAGTGTCAGGGTCAGGGTCAGGACCTGTGTTTGCTGGATTGATAGTGTCAGGGTCAGGTTCAGGACCTGTGTTTGCTGGATTGATAGTGTCAGGGTCAGGTTCAGGACCTGTGTTTGCTGGATTGATAGTGTCAGGGTCAAGGTCAGAACCTGTGTGTGCTAGATTGATAGTGTCAGGGTCAGGTTCAGGACCTGTGTTTGCTGGATTGATAGTGTCAGGGTCAGGTTCAGGACCTGTGTTTGCTGGATTGATAGTGTCAGGGTCAAGGTCAGAACCTGTGTGTGCTAGATTGATAGTGTCAGGGTCAGGCTCAGGACCTGTGTTTGCAGGATTGATAGTGTCAGGGTCAGGTTCAGGACCTGTGTTTGCTGGATTGATAGTGTCAGGGTCAGGACTTGTGTTTGCTGGACTGGTAGTGTCAGGGTCATGGTCAGGGGCTCCGGTAGGTCAGTACAAGCACTCACTTTGTGCCGGCGTAGAAGGGGTCGAAGAATTCTGCAACCACCTGCGCCGCGTACCACGACACCGCGATGATGGAGCTCAGCCCTGCCGGACACGCAAAAGACAAAGGTCCCCCGTGTAGCCTTAAGAGACTGTTTGGGCAAGTGCTATTCGCGAGCACCTATGAAGGCCGGCACGCCTTTGTCTCCGCAGTGACGACGTTTACACACCGCACCAGGTACTCATTTGAGGCTGAGTCGGACACACAAATGCACAGGTAAAGCTCCCCCATGTAGCCTTGACAGACTGTTTTGGGGCCAAGTGCTGCAACAGCGGCCACGGGCGCGCTCTCTCACCTTCCAGGATGTAGATGATGCCCGCGGAGAAGACGATGCGACCCTTCACCGCGGGGTCGCTGCTCACGATGTTGGTGCAGCGCATACCCAGGAAGGCGAGCAGCGTGCCGAAGAATCCGAGCACGATCGCCGTGATGACCAGAGCCCGGCACGCCTGCACGTGGCCTGGCGCACGTGGGGGCGGACGGGAGGGCAGACGGACGGACGGTTAGATGGATGGACCCACGGACGGACGGAGGGTTAGACGGAAGGAGGGTTAGACGGATGGACCCTCGGATGGATGGAGGGTTAGACGGACGGACGGTTAGATGGATGGACCCACGGGTGGACGGAGGGTTAGACGGACGGACGGTTAGATGGATGGGCCAACGGACGGACGGAGGGTTAGACGGAAGGAGGGTTAGATGGATGGACCCACGGACTGGACGAAGGGTTAGACGGAAGGAGGGTTAGATGGATGGACCCTCGGATGGATGGAGGGTTAGACGGACGGACGGTTAGATGGATGGGCCAACGGATGGACGGAGGGTTAGACGGAAGGAGGGTTAGATGGATGGACCCACGGACGGACGGAGGGTTAGACGGAAGGAGGGTTAGATGGATGGACCCACGGACGGACGGAGGGTTAGACGGAAGGAGGGTTAGAAAGACGGATGGAGGGTGAGATGGATAGACGGAGGGTTAGACAGATAGACGGACAAAGGGTTCGACGGATGGTCGGACGGAGGGTTAGAGTGACGGACGGCTGGAAGCACTATCTATAGAACAACGGACGGATGGTTTTACAGACGGCTTGCTGGATGGATGGGTAAGTGAACGCATGGAGAGACAAACGGACAGATTCGTGCACGGACGGCGAGACGGACAAACGCGCGGATGGATAAACAAGAGTCAGCATGGACCGAGAGATGGGTAGAAGGTCAGACAGACGGGCAAATAACTCAACTTGACTTTACGGCCCCAATAAACATTCACAGGGGTGGTTGTCTGCGCATGGCCGTGATGTTAAAACAGCGTCTCAATTCCTCCCCCTCCTCCAACCTGCAGTTGGTCAGGGCAGACTAAAGCCCTGGGGACTCTGGATTTGGTGAAGTAATCTCGAGATAACGCCAAGAGCTCTGAGCAAACACCACGGGCATGGGGGGTGGGGGGGTAACGATTGCCACAGAGATGGTGCGTCAACGTGTCCTGAGCGATCTTGGCGGCTTTACGTCTGTCATCTTCGTCTCCGACTGATAGGCCATCGAGCTGACGGCGCTAATTGGTGTACCACGAGGCCAAGGCAGCCGGGGTTGCCAAGGCGGCCGTGATTGGGGGTTGTGGGTTGGGCGGCACAGGATGGTGGCCCAGGTTCAAAGGTCAGACTGGTGCCCGAGGTTGGTAGGCGCCCGGCGGATGGTGAATGTTCGCTCCCAGCCACAAGCCAACGTCGGTTTAACTATTACATTAATAAAACACTAAAACAAATAGATTGTATTTTTAGCAGGTAATAATGAGACACTGAGCTGGGTAGCTACTTTTTTTTCTTTTACAGAAGCGACCCTGGCATGTTCACTAAATATGGAGGGGAAAAACCCAGAGGAAACCGGAGAAAAAATATTCACGCGGCCACGGAGAGAGAAAGCGAGAGACACGCAAACTCCGAATATACAGCAGCAGCCATTGTCAGGGTCGGGATCGAACCCACGACCTCCTGCATACCAGGCGAGGTAGTCAACATCTAGCCACCGTAATGATGAGAGAGAGACGCATACTCCAAATATACAGCAGCAGCCATTGTCAGGGTCGGGATCGAACCCACGACCTCCTGCATACCAGGCGAGGTAATTAACATCTCCTAGCCACCGTGATGATGAGAGAGAGACGCAGACTCCAAATCTACAGCAGCAGCCGTCAGGGTCGGGATTGAACCCACGACCTCTTGTAGACCAGGCGAGGTAGTTAACATTTCCTAGCTACCGTGGCGTCGGGGTCGGAATCGGACCCACAACCTCCTCCATACCAGGCGAGGTAATCAACATTTCCTAGCCACCGTGATGATGAGAGAGAGACACAGACTCCAAACACACAGCAGCAGCAGCCGTCAGGGTCGAGATCGAACCCACGACCTCCTGTACACCAGGCGAGGTAGTCAACATCTCCTAGCCACCGTGGCGCCGATGTTGCCAACGTTGGCACATTAACTGGGCGTGCAGTGGTCACGAGCCCTCTGACGTTACAGGCAGGTGCTTTTGCTCTAACGCTTTGCCACAAAGGTTGAATGCGATGATGCCATGAGGTCTGGGCCTGCGTAGCGTGGGGTGGGTCACGGCTTTCGACACGGGGATTTCCAGTGGCAATTGAAACTCGAGTGAGAAGTTGTTATTGTTGTTGTTGTTTTGCTATTGAGAGCAATTCATCGGTATCCACCCGCTCTCCACTCCACTCCACGGCTCACTCGCTCACTCACACGTAGGGGGCGGGGGGGGTCACGATGACTCTTGTGATGGTGATTTCCGGCACCGATGAAACTCGCGAACGATCGGATCGTTCGACGGGCGATTTCTGGAAACAAATTCCACGCGGCCAACTGGCGAAGCAGTCGGACGGGACGTCAGGTCGTGGACGTCACGTTTTTGCCATCGCGTGCAGAGTCCCCGCAAATGACACGCGCAAGAAGAGGAAGAGGAAAAGAATGAAGAAGGATGAAGAGGAAGAGAAGCAGAATTAGAATGAAGAGAAGAATGAGAGAAAGAAGAATGAATGAATTGGAGGAGAAGAAAAATACGAATGAAGAAGCATGAAGAAGGAAGAAAGAAGACGAATTGAAACTCGAGTTGCGTTACGATCCTGGTTGTCTCCATCATCGCTCGGAGGCCTTTGAGAATGACCCTTGGAAGCACGGGATCCCACGCGGCTTCCACGCGGCGTTGCACTGCCGGTGAGAAGATAGCAACGTCGCTTCGACCGATTCCGAGCGAGACATTCGGCGTTTAAAGAAAATAAAGCCGGAGGGTCGGCCCTGAGCGCTCTGCCCAGCTCACGTGAACCCCTTCCAGCCTAAATTTCGATTTAAAGCTTCTTTTGTGACTGCAGGGATTCATCTTCTTGGTTCT